GAGTAAACCCGACTGAGCAAGCCTATTAGTTTCATTCTACCCAAACTAATTCATGAATAAATAGGAGATGGACTCCATAAATCATACTTAGTAAGTATTTCATTAACAACTTCCACTTTATCTCCATTAGAAGCTTAAAACATGATTATCAAAATATTGCAAGTTTATAAATCTTTGCCAAACGTCAATATTTCTACTTTAATTCCCAATACCAAACACCACCCACAACCTGTCTACGGAGCCTCTAAATATAACTGAAGAATGATATGGAAATGCCGGCAACAAGGCTCCGGCTATACCTCGAAATACAACATACATGATAAACGAATGACACATGACCCCGAAATGAAATGGGGCTCACCAAATCCGCTGAAAGGATGATGCGGCACTAGATGTGACCAACACTGCCTGCTATGAAAACACCTACATTCATTTAAAAAAAATGTAGCGTCCCCGGCAAAAAGGACGTTAGTGCCATCGAACAGCACTAGTATGTATAACTAAACACCATCAAGTTAGAAAGAACTTTCATACAATAATAAGAACATCACAAGTGCAATTCAGACACTTTAAATGATCACAACATTATCAAATAAAAGAATCATGCAATTTCCACAAAACAGTAAGTCAAGATCAACATTATACTAGCAACCAATTTTGAACCTGTAAATCCTTTAGTTTACGAAAAATAATATAAATACATAGTTTTTAGTTGGGGGATCATTAGCACCGATATGAGTTATACCACCGTCTTTGTTAGCACGGAGTTCGATCATGACCTGGTCGGCTAGGTCGTCCCTTTAGAGACATGTACCACAATTGCGATTCTCAGTTTTTTTTTGAATTTCCAGATTTTGATTCTCAACACAATACCACCATGTGTGCGACATGGCGTCCGATCACGGCCCGATCGACTAGGCTGCCTTCCCACTTATGTTGTGTGGGTTGGCGATACCAATTTAGAAATGTTACCGAGTTCATCCCAATTAAGGGGAACAACCATGATCCATCCCTACACCGGCACGTGTAGTTTCAGGAGTGAGCTTTATGACCCACCCTTCCTCGGTTTTTCTAATGATACTCCCCAAAAACAGTTCTAATTCAATTTATTGTTGCACACAATTATAGTATAATCTCAAGTATACGAATATAGCATGAATGCAACCATGCTTACCTCAATATCCTTCGCATTTTATAGATTCCAATTAGTGTTTCCAGTCACTGACAACAATAGTATTTTCTTGGCCCATTTGGCCATTCACAAGATTCTTTATTCCTGGCACGGTGGCCGTATTTCATATTTCACATGTTTCACGTCGATACCAATTTCATTAACAAGCCATTCGATCCAAAATGTCAAGTGCACATGAGAGAATCATGAATCATGGACATATACAATGTTTCAGAAATCATACACCTCAAGTTTATTAACAATAGAACGTTAAACACAACGGATTCTTCCAAATCAATAGAGGGGATACACCAACCCGTAATAAAACACATCAAAGGCATCACCAAGTACATTTATAATTCAAGTTCTCGCCACATTGGCCATACTCTATTTTCCAAATTCGTTTGACTTATTTCAACATCCCTATACACATAGGATTTCACATAGTTTGACATAGTATATGCAGCTCCAATTTCAATTTAAGGTTTTAGCATTTCAATGCATAATTCATATCTTTTGCCCCTTTCAAGTTATCAAGACAACACGTTAAGCATGTTGAGACACATCTTTCATGCATACGAGGTAACAACACCAATTCATGGAAAATAATAATCGACATCGATGAAGCTCGATTTCTAAAAGACGGGAATTTAGCCATACATACCTTTCTTGAGCTTTCCTTTAATTACTACGATATTCCGGAAATTCTAGCAACTTCAATCTATTTTGAGACATAACAAAATTGAACAGAAATTAGGAAGATATTCATAATACTCTTACACCCAAGAATCATACTCCTAATCACACATCTTTACCCCAAACTCAAATTTAAAGACTAGGGTATGGAATCCTTACCCCTTAGATGAAGATCTTGTGATTGGGTTCCTTGATTCTTAAAGATTAATGCAAGACTGGATGATTGGAGTGTTAGGCCTCATCCTTCTCTCTCTAAAAGACTAGGGTATGGAATCCTTACCCCTTAGATGAAGATCTTGTGATTGGGTTCCTTGATTCTTAAAGATTAATGCAAGATTGGATGATTGGAGTGTTAGGCCTCATCCTTCTCTCTCTAAAAGACTAGGGTATGGAATCCTTACCCCTTAGATGAAGATCTTGTGATTGAGTTCCTTAATTCTTAAAGACTAGGGTATGGAATCCTTACCCCTTAGATGAAGATCTTGTGATTGGGTTCCTTGATTCTTAAAGATTAATGCAAGATTGGATGATTGGAGTGTTAGGCCTCATCCTTCTCTCTCTAAAATGCTCTCACCTCTCTCTAGAGTGTTCAGAAAATCGCCCCCAATAAATCCCAATCGAGTTAAATGAAATGGGGTTCGGGTATTAAAAACCCATTTTTTTGTACTACCGCGCCGCGTGGGGCGCTGCGGGGCATGGGGAATCAGTGCAAAATGTGTCTGGAAATGAAATTTTGGACCACACTGGAATTTCTACTGGCGCGGCGCGCCGGGCACCGCATGGGGCGCCGCGATAGTGCAATTTTCTGCGCTGCTTTGGTAATTTGGTCATAACTTTGTGTAGGAATATCCGAATGCCGAACGGTTTGAAGCGTTGGAAACTAGACTCAAAGAACTTTCATAAAATAGGTTATTCATCACATAAAACCTTATACATATTTAGATAGGCTCGTTCAAAGTGGGGACTTGTGCGAACTTATTCGAAATCTTAGCCTATTATGAACTTTTTCAATTTTCCTTAGACTTAGGCCTTTCCTTGGACCCCAAATTACTTACCATAAGACTTGTACACATATTTACCAAATCCAATTGATGTCCACCATGTTAATAGCACATAAAATATTATAATTAGCCTACATAGCACCACGAAAGCATAGTTTACTTAGCGAAATTTTCCGGGGCCTTACAGTGATATAGGGGGAGAAGCAGTAATGGCGGACGACCCCTTGAAGCATATGTAAAAAATGTGAGAAGAAGAGAGAGTGAAAGCAATAGTTGTGAGAACACATATTTAACTCCATAACTTTTAGAAGCAATGGTTGTAAGAACATGGATTTTGAATTTGCAAGAGCTAGTATTTTCAAAATATGTACAATATGAGCTAAGTCGGGTAAAACTTAAAAACATGGGCCATTTTTTGTTATGGTGTGAAGTCATGTGTATTTTCTTGTAATTCTTTCTATAATTTTAGGTTGTTTTGAAGTTTTGTGAGTGATTTGAGTCAAAATTTTGAAAAATAAGTTTTGGGTGTTAATAAAGCTATTGAAGTCTCTTAAAAGCAGGTCAGATCCTCAAATCGAGAAATTCTACGTTTATCACACTTATTCCGAAGCGGGAAGTTAGCGATTCCTTCGATCTTTATCGGCCTCGCTATGCAATTATGTGTACAAGAAAAATGAAGAAATTCTTGCGAATAGGCTATGCAACCGAAAGTCATAAGTTTTATTGAACCAGATGGCGTTCGTTAAAAGAAGAGGGATAGTTTACAAGATTTTGCTATCTTCTAGAAATTTTGAGGAAATTTCACCGCTCCGCAGTTTTCTGCAAAAATAGATTTGCACAAAGCATTCGATTCGGTAAATAGAAACTTCTTTCTTGATGCTCTAAGAGACCTGGNAAAGTCATAAGTTTTATTGATCCAGATGACGTTTGTTAAAAGAAGAGGGATAGTTTACTTCAAAATGAATCTTCAAGTGATTGGAAATTTTTATGAACAAAAGTTGATTTCGACAAAAAGTAAAAAAAAAAATTGAAAAAAAAGACTTCAAACCTTTAGGTATAAAGTTTGGCGTGGTAATTTAAAATTTCAAACCCAAAGGCCCGAAGAAAACAAGAAAATAAAAGAAGCAACCGAACATAAAATTTGTCAAAATTGACTAAACTTCAAATATTTTTTGAAATTGGACTGATCTAATTGGGCATGTGATACAAATACTGAATTACAGAGAAGAAGAAGCTAACTAGGGTTAAGCTAAAACTAAGAAGAAAAGGAACTAAGGAAAATAAAATATAAATTTTTCATTCATGCCTTCAAAATAAGCTACTACTTAGTACTAGGGGTGTATAAACTGAACTGGAAAACCGCACCAAACCGAAAAGTTAAATCAAATCGAGTAAAAAAACCCAACTAGATTTGGTTTGATTTGGTTTGGTATTGAGTAAAAAAACCCGAACCAAACCAACATATAAATATATAATTTTTATATATACTTTTAAGATTTTATGTAGAATTTTCATTAAAAAATGTTTAGAAATATTTGAGATTATCTTGCGGGATATAATATTTAATAGTATATGAAGTGCTCCATATTTATTAACCTTAAATAATATGTTGTATGATCACTTTCTCATCAAGTGTTACTGAAATGGGTTAATCTCTTTGTTCTTCCATATTCATACCATATGTTAAGATCTACTAAATTATTATACTTTTTTCGAATGTGAAGTGATTATTATTATTTAGGTATCATATTTTTTTTTTTTATGTTTAATTACTAAATTCAGTTAACCTTGAAAGTGTACATCAATGAAACATTATTGTCAGACGGCTAAAAAAATAACTATTATGTGTAACTAAGAAAATTCTCTCATAAGAATATTTTAATAGATAATATGTTTGTCAATTTTTTATATTTTTACTAAACATATATTTACTTATAAAAAATTTAACAAAGTAAGATTGAAATAATATTTAAGTAACGAAAAATCCGAAAAATCCGACAAAACCGAACCAATCCAAACAGATATAATTGGTTTGGTTTGGTTTTGATAAAAACTGAACACATCTGCTCCATGTACACCCCTACTAGTACGACAGACCAAAGGACTAGAAGGTAATAACAAAAACTTACAAGGGGTGATTAAATAATAAAGCGATCTAGTTAACTGGACTCAAATGTAAGAAACAAAACTTGTTAAACGACTCCTCACTAACTTCACAGTACAACTTTGCCAGCCCAATGTACAAGCTCCACTAGCAGCTCCAATCATTCCATTTTAAATTGTATATCAGCAATGCCCAACTTGACCCGTTCCATTTTCGTCGCCCAAATCAGCCCGTTTCCGTCGCAGAACCCATGAAATCAGACCTTCAGTCTTTGCCCGCTGAATCCTCCTAGCTTCGCGCAGTTCTACCGTCCGCAGGTGAGGTCAAATAGGTCTCTGTGTGTGTGTGTGTGTGTTTGTGTGTGTTCGCGTTCCTTTTCACTGTTTTGTTTAGTAAAGCTTCAAACTTGGTGGGTCTTGCAATTTATTTCGATATTTTCCTTCTCCTTGTTGATTTTTTTTTTTTTTCGATTTAGCATTCTGAAGGTTATGCTGCTAGTTTTTCTGCTAAGTTACATGGTTGTTACATATTACATATACAACAAAAACAACAACAACAACCCAGTATAATCCCACTTAGTGGGTTCTGGGAGGGTAGTGTGTACGCAAACCTTAACTAGTAGGGTAGAGAGACTGTTTCCAAATAGACCCCGGCATCCTTACCTCCAATAACTTCCCACCTTGCTCTTGGGGAGACTCGAACTCACAACCTCTCGGTTGGAAGTGGGGGTTGCTTACATATTACATAGAATCTGAAAATGTTTGACTGAAAGCTGGTGAAATCATTGTGGATTTTGGTTATTCTGTGTGTTTTGTATTGTCGTGCTGTACTGGAAGTATCTTTTGTGTGTTGTGTATTGTCGTGCTGTACTGGAAGTATCTTTTGTGTGTTGTGTATTGTCGTGCTGTACTGGAAGTATCTTTTGTGTGTTGTGTATTGTCGTGCTGTACTGGAAGTATATAAGAACACACATGGTTCTGATTAACTCTGAAAATCTTCTCCTTTTTATCTTTTTTTTGATCTTTTCAAGGGTTCTCTTTAATGGATAAAAAATGATGGGTCACTGTGAGCAGGTTGGACTATGACCATTTTTTAGCCCATCTTGACACACCCATCATAGCCCAAATAAACTTCGGTCGGGTCAATAACCTACCAATTTTTTGATGGAAAGCCTATAAAATGTATAGTTTTTTGTATATTAATGTATAATATACATATATTTTGGCTAGCGGATGTAATTATATTTTGCCGACCAGCCAAATGTGTAACTTGCCCTTTATTGATTCAACTCATTTTAATGGGTTTTTTTCCTGATAAAAAAACTCATTTTAATCCGTCCATTTGCCACCCCTAGGCCCATCTAATAGAGGTCCAAAGAAAGCACGCCCGTCAGGTGGATTACCGTCTCTTTTGCAGTGATTAGCCGGCTAAAACTACCAAACAAATGGCGGAGACATCCTCTGTCAAAGGTGGAAGTACAGTGGAGGAATGCCAAGACATGATCCGAAGAAGTCTTAGAAGTACGTTCTTCATATCTTCACATCTCTTCTTAAATTCTTAACTTTTGTAGTTACATTTATTGTACGTCGCCCTTGGGTGGTTTTGCTATTTGAGAACCTCTAGTTTTAAATTTACCTTAAACAGATAAATTGTGAGAATTGGCAGGAGGATATCAGAAAGCTGACGCGGACATCACCATTATAGACACTGCCGTAAAAAATAAATTTTTTTAGCATTGTAAGAAGTGGACTTGAATATAGCATATTTATTTAGATAATTTATACAGGTGATTCAAACTAGTTTAAGGTTGATGTGTGATTGAATAATGTTGATTGATATGCATTTTTGTTGCAGCTCCAATGGTCAAATTTTTGAAGGAGCATTTGGAGAAATCTGGTTGTCGTATTGGCGATAACTTCATAAAAGCTATCCATTGTGACAAGAAGGTCAGCGGCGGCTATGTTCGCGGACAAGGGGTATTCAACTATAATTCTTTATTGCTTGGTTCATAACCTATTAAAGTTGAGGGTGTCGATTTTTGTTTGTCTTCAATTGTAAATTTGAAGAACATTTCTTTTTGGTGTTACAAACATAGCTTTGCTAAATTTGTGTACTTGGAGTTGGCAAATTCAATTGAAACCCTGTGGGATAGTGGGAGGAACAAACCTTTTTTATTTGAAAATAGATAAAGAGTGAACGACAAATTTGGGATTTTAACTCAGTGGGTGTCGATTACCGCTGCACTATCTACTCCTTGACTATGGGTGCAAAGTTAGTGTAAGTATTTATTAAAGAAATTTTTAACTATGTATATACTTTGGTGCAATGGAAAGGATGCGCCCCCGTGAGTTACATCCATCTATGTATAGTGTGAATGTCATGAATGCCTAGTAATACGCTGCTAGAATTGATGTGCTATATTCTTAAATATTTTCATTTTCCCTATTACTGTTGATATTTGGTAATCGTCCTCCATGTCAAGTCTAATGATCGTAATATTTTTGCGCTATGGATCTTATTAATGTTATTATTAGCACTAACAATTTTTCCTCTTATTTTTATTGTCTTCCTTTATGTGCGTCTGGTTATATTTGTGTTCTTAATTGTTTTGGTTGTCTTACATCCTCGAGCATTTACTGATCTTGTTTCTTTTTGGCTATTAAGATAATTGTGTGCAGTAACTACATGAACATTCAAGATGAGGTGAATCAAGTTGTCATCCATGAGCTAATTCATGCATATGATGACTGCCGTGCTGCAAACTTGGAATGGTCTGATTGTGCTCATCATGCTTGTAGTGAAGTTTGTGCTCTAAAAGCCTCTCTTTCATGCTAAATCATCTACTTTTGGGTTTGTTTTTGACTATAGACAATAATTTCTTTGTAACTGATTGCAGATTAGAGCTGGCCATCTTAGTGGTGACTGTCATTACAAACGGGAACTACTAAGAGGTTATCTTAAGATACGGGGCCATGAACAAGTGAGTTTTGTTTATTATTAATGTATGCTTTACAACTATCTGTTTAGGGTTCTATTTTGCTTCACCTTGTTATGGTGTCTTCTTTCCTGTACCTAGCGGTAATTATGTACATCACAAACAACACATTAACTCTCCAGTAGTTAAGAGAAGAAAATAACCTGAAAGACACCATTTCAGATGATCTGTATAGATGTTGGAATCGTTAAATTAGATATTTGTTGTTAAAAAAAACAAGGCGGAAGAAAATCTTAGCATGGGGGAAGAAAACATTTAGACCAGAGAGTTCGAACCCTGAGCTGCATCTGCAAGTCCACTGGAACACCCCGGTCACTGGTTGAATTGTTTGGTGTGTTGAAGCGAAGAATGTAGCAGTTTTGTACTTGTATCTTAACTTGTGGCATAAGCTTGATAAAAAAAGCAGCATCGTCTTTCTTGTTGACACATTGAGTCAAGGACTTATTAGGAATGTGTCTGACGTAAATTGTCCAAATTAAAACTCCGTGTACATGGTAGAATATTTAATTATTTAATCAGAGCTCAATGTACATGACAAGTTAGATAATTATTTAATCAGAGCTCAATCTCTTGTTTAAGACTGGTGAAATGAAGAAATCAAACGAAAAGTTGTTGCTGTGACTCAAAATGGCCTGCTTGTTGGCAGCACAAGTTCCTTCAGTTACCTTTATGTTGTGATAACATGATAAATAAATAATAAGTGGAACATTGACTCACCTAGAACCATAATTTATTTCAAGCTTTTACCGGCTACCTGGTATTTGGACCCTTTCTTTGATCAGGTAAAAAAACTACTTCCTTTAAATCAATCATCCAGTGGATTCAATTGATTACAAAAAATGTGCAAAAAATATAGCATGGCTCCTGTAGAGCAAATCATCTCCTAGTTGCTCAACGAGCAAACAAAGTTCAAAATATCTAAGGAGTTATTTACATAAAAAAAGTTACTTCAAGCAAAAAGATTAAGCAAGCATCTAGATTTTAGTGTGTATGGGAGTTGCAATTCCTTCAAAGCATCTCTAATTTCTTTCCTTCCATATGCTCCAAATAATACATTGGGGTATCATCTTCCAGATGCATCTGATGGATTTCCCAACTCTGAAGCCATTCCAAATGACAAAAACTTCCTTCAGACCCTTATCCAAAAAAAAAAAAAAAAAAT